TGGTTATGTGTGAAAAATAAAGATGGTAGGTTGTTTTTGTGTGTGGACAAGTATGCCAGAACAACAGAAAATTGATGGCTGAAAGGTGGTTTGGTATGATATTGTTCATACATTGCTCAAGTTATAACTCAAGAAAAACAAAAAGGCCCTATATGTTAAAAGGAACATTTGGTGCCTGAGAAATATAAAAATAAAAAAGGAAGAGTTATAAGTTTGAGTTTAGGTAGGTATGTAAAGTTAATAGGCTTATGGAGTGTATTGTGAGAATATGTGAAACTGTAAGAGTAGTTGTGTTTAAGGTGGATCTGTCAAATTTACTAAAGATGTGTGTTGTTTAAATGTTATTGTGAAGAGAAAGGGGGAAACTACAAGAGGCTGAAGACCCCAGAGACCCGAAAACCAAACCCTGAGGGAAAGTGGATGAGTAAAAGGAGTTTTCGATTCGATTTAATGAGACATGGCGATTAACACAATTTGGACTTTTCTGTTTTTCTTTAATGATTTCTAGATCTTCATATAGGTCTAGTTTGAGAAAGTTTTATTGTGGGATTTCTAGAAGCATTTTTAGACAACTACCGTAAGTTACACTCACTGCTCTGACACAACATCCGTTCTAACATGTCAACAATGTCATTTTGATCAGTTATCAACAGGTCCTCGGAGACACTTCGTCTCAGGACCATTTTACCTATGTAGGGTCATACGTCGCCATGTTACCAATTCCAACGGTAACTTAAACATCCTAATTTGTAACTATATATAATATAAAACAACTGTAAATTTATAACCAAGGGTTTTGACCCATATATTTTGGTGGCTCATAGCATGTATACCCTGTAAGTATTAACCACATTTTGCTTTAACCTTAGTTAACATTTTAAATTCAACGTTCTTTTTAATTAAAGTGGTTATTTACTTTCAGGTTTACACTGATGATGGATTTAACAATCCGAAAACGCTCTGTAATGTAATTGTGATAGCCCGTTTGGGCATTTTATTATATACCTTTTATAAAGGATTTGAAATAAATTTTTTGTGATATATGGTATACAGCCAGCTAAAGGAACTTAGTTTCCTAGTGGATTTTTAGAAAATTAAATATTCTCGTCGGATTTCGCTATGTGGGGCGAAAATTCGACCACCTGGTACTGGTCGTTTTAAAATTCACCCGGTATTAAGGTTAATTAAAGAGTATTTTTAACGAGTACTTACCGTTGTAAACGTTAAGCACGATTTGCTTTGCATCGTATGTCATCATCAATCAGCCAATCGCGTCCACTGCTGGACATAGGCCTCCCTCAGTTCTTTCCAGTGTTCTCTACACTGGGCCGCTTGTAGCCAGTTTCCCGCTACACGTTTAATGTCATCGGTCCATCTAGTCGGTGGTCGTCCTCGGCTTCTTTTATAATTTCTGGACCTCCATTCCATAATACGTCTTGTCCACCGTCCATCTTGTGTTCTGGCTAAGTGCCCTGCCCAGAACCACGTCGTGGTTCTTTCGATGACGTCTTGAACTCCTGATCTTCGCCTGATTTGTTGGTTTGTTATGTGGTCTCGAAGGCTCACGTTCAGCATTGCACGTTCCATGGCTCGTTGTGTAACTCTAAGTTTTTTCGCAGATTTTTGCGTGAGTGGTAAAGTCTCTGCTCCATAAGTTTGTACAGGTAAAACACATTGGTTATAAACCTTTCGCTTGAGACACATGGGAATTGAACTTTTTAGAATATGGCTTAATTTGCCAAATGCTGCCCATGTTAGACCTATTCGACTCTGTATTTCATGTGTTTGATTGTCTCTGCTTATTTTGATTTCGTGTCCCAGATATTTGTAAGTGTCTGTTTGTTGTATGGTATTATTGTTAATAGTTATATTTCCACTCATTACGAGATTTGTTATAATTTTAGTTTTCTCAAAGTTTATCTTTAATCCTGCTCTTTCAGACAGACTTTTAAGCGAATGCATCATAGAAACTGTATCATGTAAGTTATCTGCGATTAATACAACATTATCTGCAAACCTTAGGTGATTTAATCTTTCTCCATCTATATTGATGCCCATATCTTGCCATTGAGTACCCTTAAATATTGACTCTAGAGCTGCCGTGAACAGTTTTGGTGAAATATTGTATCGTGTGTAAGATGAATATAACCAGAAGGTTTTTCAGGTTTAGACTAGTCTTTACTTCCTGAAATAGTGGCGGGAATGTACAGGACATCGTCACTAATCATTTATATATCACTCATATTTATAGTTATTACACTGACTTCCGTTCGAAAGGAACGACAAAAGAAAAATGAAGTTCTTTTCAAATAAACTTTTTTCTCACAGAAGTCCATTGAGTGATAATTTGATATTAAGTACACATTATCCTTTTACCTGAATAAAATTCCAAGAAATTGTCTGCACTGGCTTTACGTACCTAGAAATTTGAAGTCCAAGTACAAATGCAATTAACTGATTAAATTTAAATAGGTACACAAAGTTATGCTTGAAATTTTATTTACCAATACGTACATACCTGTGTACGTATGGCAACACCTACTTTGTGTTAGTTAGTAAAGTAACTTTAAATTGTGGATATAATTTAAAATTGAACCTACCTAATGTAACGAAATACTAAGGGTGACTATTCGTTACAGCATTAAGTGAGTACAGTCATTTTGTGCTTGATATCGGCCCAGTCTCTTAATCTGGGGAATTCCATCCGAATTATCTTGAAACGGATAGCACATCTTTGTAATTTTTGAATTTAGACATCATTCGGTGAACAACTGTGAACATGTCGGGCATGCTAAAGTTATTATATGTATATTTCTCGAGATGTATTAAAGACTATAATTCTATACATTCTTCATACTCATCTCTTCTATTTTTTTTGTGGACTTTTATATGATATTTCACATCGAAAGGCAGAAAATAAATATGTACCAAACTATTGAATGACCTTGACATACAAGCCACCAACAGACGGGCATGAATCTCACTAAAAACCTGAATAACACCTTTGCTTTTCGATCCTCACAGCTATCAGGTAACAGCAGACCCAATATCTAGCCAGATATTGCTAAATAATACTTAAATACGAGAAAACAACAAAGAACTTCTGTCTGAGGGAACATCTGTTCCAGGAAAAGTCTTAACGCTTACAATGTAATTTATAAATCTTAGATTGGTTAGAATAAAGTCAATCTGATTTCTAATGCAATTTTGTTCATTATCCTGTGGTAACCTGATTAGTTAAGAAGGCGCATAAACGGACGGCAGGTATCCAAAGAATAATACCCAACATAGGAGGGCCCAGCAGCAACAAGAGAAAATTGTACCTTCAAGTAGTGCAATTGACCCTTCTATATGGAACTCCCGTCTGGATTAACGTACTTAAATACCAGAAGTACAAAGATATTATAACAAGAGCCCAAAGGAAGCCCCTTTTAAAAGTGGTGAGCGCGTACCGAACCACTTCTACGCTGGTCTTACAGGTGATTGCGGGAACGCTTCCCATCCACCTGCTTGCCAAAGAAAGACAAATGCTGTATGAAGCCCACGACGGTCACCTACCTCAGGTAAGAAGGACCATACGAGTGAACATGCTTATAGAATGGCAAAGAGAATGGGAGGTACAGACCACGAAGGCTCTTTGGACCAAAACGCATATCCCCGATATTGTAGCATGGTACAACTGTAAATTTAAAAGAGTAAATTACTATTTTACTCAGTTCCTGACCGGTCATGGATCTTTCAGATCCTACACATATGGCATCAAAAAAACCAACGATGACATATGCACCTCGTGTGACGAGAGGGGCGATGCGGAACATTGCATCTTCCGGTGTAATGTTTTCGCCTACGAACAACAAAGGCTGCAGAATAGATTCGGCGCGATCGCGCTCAACAACATCATGCAGATTGCAATAACCAGCAAAGAGAATTTTGAATATATAATCAACCATATAACAGGTATCATGAAAAGAAAGACTATAATAGAAAGAGCCGAACAATCTGGGTGAGGGGTCAAATACAAAAATAAATAATAAAAAAAAACATAAACATTCTTTTTTTTTCTTTTCTGTACAAAAATGTACCAAATATTACCCTTCAGGGTAACCCCCTTTTTTAAGCTCTCAAGTTTTTCTCCGCTTGGGAACTAGGTCTCCTTCCCTATACGCTTACTGCTTTTAGGTAAGTGCTGTAACTAAAATAAATAGCCATAAGGGCACCTTTAACCCAGTCTGCGCGTGGTATCCCCATGTTTCGTTCGCTAATGAACTCGTCCAGGGATACCATGGGTCGAAGAGGGGGTGGTTTTAGTTGGTAGGCGACCTGGCAGGGATGTCCGAAGGGGGCCCTTTGTCACATAGTTTGACATCGTGCCGCCGGCGTATGTCTCTGGTCCTTTGGTTGAATCTAACAGTACTAGGGACACTTTTCCTAGTCGATTTTACGAATCTTTCCACCTCAGTCCAAAAAAAAAGATTGGTTAGAATAAAGTCAATCTGATTTCTAATGCAATTTTGTTCATTATCCTGTGGTAACCTCCAGGTATACAGTCTATGGAGTGGTAATCGAAACCATGTGTTCATAATCGCCAGGTTTTCTTCTTGACAAAATTGAGCCAATCTATCGCCTCTAGCATTCCTTATTCCTGAACCATAATCACCTATTATATTGTCGACTCGGCCTTTTCCTATCTTTTCATTTAAATCACCCATTATTATAGTAATTTCTTCCTTTCTTGTGTATTGTAGAAGTTGTTTCAGTTGTTCGGCATATACATTAAAGGAGTAAAAAGTTATAATATTGCTCATAACATAAGAATAATGCTCGTCCGCTATTTATTAGCCAAGAGTTTGTCTTTTTTAATGGAAAGATAGATAAATTACTTTTATAAATGTACTTATATTTTCGGTTTATAAATATTTCACTCTCGATTTATTTATTAAAATTTAAACATGTCTTATATAAATATTTCGTTATATTAAAATCAGAATTTTTAATTCCAGATCCCCTTTATCCCGAATTAACAAGCCTCGTTACCCAGACCCAGAAACCTGTGATAGTGTAAGCCCTTCGAGTAGCTCACCGGCTCAGCAACATACGAATATTGCAATGGTCATTGATCCGACATATTCCAGAAGAGCCTATCGAGGTTCTTCCAGTTATGATACCGCCTCCAGTACCGTAACCACCAGCACTTCAAGCAGTAGTCCCGGGATATTACCGCCTCCTGATCTGGGAGAACATGACGATGACAGCCCTGCGCCACCTTATATGCCCATACAAGGTCAAAGGAGGACAGCTAGTTTGGAAAAGAAACAGAAGAAGAAAAGTAAGGATGGCTGTAAGCAGCAGTAGTATGTTCGTTCATTATATATGATTTAGTTTTAATTTATTGCGTACGGGCTAGTGATGATCCTGAATATCATTTTCAAAGTTTAATTATAAATTTTCTCCCATTTATACGAAACAAAAACCACTTTAAGTCATAGATGAAATGAAATTAAGATACATTAATTTAATCTCATAACAATAGTAGCTATATGTACCACTGTTATAACAATATTACTTAAATTGATCCACTCGTGACAAATAATTCACATGCTTTTTGTCCAAAGGTAAGTTTTTAATTGAAGTAACTTTTTAGATGTTAATTTCCTGCTGTTTTGACTGAAAGTAAACTAAAGAACACGTTACCTAAGGCCCAATGGATGTACAAATCCAATATTCGCTGCCATTTAGAATTTGTCGACTCATGCTAAGTAAAGTTTATTTAAAAGAGAAATAAAATGCTTTAAGTATTGCTTCCCATTGCTATCCATATACAGGGTATACCGAAATATCTAAAAAAGAAATATATTATATGAACAATGACAATCATTTTGGGAGGAATACAAATGTTAAATGTGTAGTAAATTTATCATATCATCTGGAAATTATTATTGAACTTTTAGTTTTATTAATGAAAACAAGAATAAATTTCCGAAAAATATTAAGAGTGTATTAGTTATTCATAGAATTTGGTGCCTAATAAATCAGTATATTCTAAGACTGGTACCATACCTAGTGATCTAGATTGTGAAAAATTAATCCTAGAACAAAGGTATTCAGTAGACACAAAGGCGCTGTTGCTGAGTCTGGGTAGATTATGGGCGCGGTCGTTCTTAGAAGTGAGAAACGTAGGGAAGAAAACATACTAAACAACAAAGAAAGGAAATTTAATTCAATATGAGATTTTCGGCGTTGATCTCATTTAGGTAACTATATTTACGGCCGGTTTCCGAAACGTTATTCAAATCTCCAATCATGTAATCAAGTGTCAAATTTGATCAACTGTTAACAAGCGACAGGTTTCCGAAACGAAAATTATGGTAAAATTAGGTGATCACCGATTATAGATTATTTGACATACGATTTTACATGGAAACTGTAGAATCGATTATAATCGTTTATTATTTCTGTACGAATTGTTCTTTATCTTGCTCTAAATTAAGAAAGTAATGTTGCTGTTTCACTCTACCGTCATTTCTGTTTATGTGTAATCTGCATTCTGAAAATCAACAAACAAACATAACCTAACTATTAATTTTGTGTCGTTTGTTAATGTTTGCCAATTTGTCATTTATCAATCATCATCATATTTAATATTTAAGTAAATTGTTTACCTTTGTAACAATATTTTTGAGTTCTTTCTAAACAACAGCTTTTTATAAAACACCTTAGGTTTATGTATTTACAACGTAACCAAAGATTTTATTTTATTTACTTACAACCATTGATACATAACCAAAGATTATAAGATTAATCGTCCAAAAATGTCAGATTACCTGACAAGCTAGTATGACAGTTGTTTGACATAGATAAAACGATAATTAGCGTTTCGGAAACCCAAAATACTTCTGACAGGCTGTTAATCATCGATTATTTGTTTGTTAGATTAGTTAATGTGTGTTATGTGATTGAAGTTTGATCGATGTTTCTGCAACTCAAAATGCATTTAATCGACTGTTAACAGTAGATTACCTAATTTTGATAATGATCAGCCTTTCGGAAACCGGCTGTTAGTCTCTTTTTTATTTGGTAATTGTCTTAAAAAGGGGATATGTACATTATCTCCGATTAGACTGTAAAGTGAATCGACTTTATGTTGACCTGTCTGTGTAGACAACTACCTTATGATGAAGGCTATATTAGCGAGGAGTACTGGTCTTAATAGTAGAAGAATTTGGCTTGTACACTAGTCTAATCTAATACAGTAACAATGAACGGAACGACTCGAGACGAAGAATAAAATAAAAGGTTGGAAGGTGAGAGTAAGAAAAATAGAGAGGACATATTAAAAAATAAATGCAAGAATGCAAACGAAGACTACGACACGTCCAAAAAGTCCTTCTTACTTTAATGGCGATATTTCCGATGTGAGAATTCCATACAAGTTTTCTACGCAGAATAATAACACGATATTTTACAGCTTCTTAGTGTTGTCCCCTTCATGGACGGAGGTTGAATTGTTAATTGAATTACCTCCTATTTATGAATGAAATAAGTATCGTTTTATTAGTATTTGCTGAAAGTCCTTTTTTCGAACACCAGGTAATTACTAGGTTTAAAAAATCTTTCGAGCACGGTATCCTTCACTTTTGGACTTTCTTAAAATATCGTCAACCACTTTGACCACAGTAGAGGTGGTAACAGTAAACTAACTATCAGATTAAGACACGTAAGCTTCGTACGGTTACACTCACATACGACGGTACTCAACTAGAGCTTAGAGCGTAGAGAACTTAGAGCGTAGTGTCTAATACTCACCATGCATGTTAGATTGTAGATTTTTATTAAACGAAAGATTTGGCGACCACTTTCGCTGTGTACCAGGCATACAGCATCATCAGGCCCTCAAGAAACTAAAGACTGAAATAGATGATATGTGTAGAAATTTTTTTTTGTGTTTTCTTTGGGTTTTTTGATTTTTTAAAAGCATGTGTAATACTGTTGTCGTATGTTGGCATAAATCTTATCTTAATTGATATAAAATTTATTTCTATTACCAAATTAACCTTAACTTAAAACCGGACCCATGCATTAAAGTAAATGGACTTGAAGATAGCCACGGTTTTAGTGACATCAATCCAAAGGAGAATGAAATCGGTAAAGTTGTTTTCACGTTATGGCAAGACAGGAAAAATGGAATTTATTTTTATATAATAGATAATTAAAAAATTACGTTATCTTGTGACTATATTGGTTTTTGGTTTGCATAAATAGCATGAAGCTGTATATTCTACTTATTGAATAATAGTTATTTACTTTCTTCACTAGCCTTCTTATTTTCTCACTAGCAAGTCGTGGTAATTATTTTATTTTTCCAGTTTTAAATTGTTTCCAATTATATGCTTAGATTGGAATATTTTCTTATGTTTTGTATATTTAAGAATTTTCAAATTAATTTTATGTTATTTTTATATTACAATATACCAAGTAATGTAAAGTATTGGTATTATTATAAATGATTAAAATCTGACAATATTGAAAGTTTTATCAAAATCTTATCAATTGATAAGAGAAATTACAGAAAATAACTAAAATATTTATATCTACCACTATCATAAGAAATTACGATATTGCACCAAAATAGCCTACGATAATTGCAGTTTGTCTCAGAGTAGATTTTAGTTCAATCAATTAATCTCGGATTCAGAACCTGTTGCGATTAAAAACATGTATTACTATATTAGAATATGCGAATTTTATTTTTTAAATATCACCTCGATTAGATGTTGACCATCTCGATCGTAGTATTCTTGCAATCTGATTCGCAAATTGAGAAAGAGGTGCTCATACATATCCACTCAAATTTTATTAGTAGCATTGCGAATGTTTTCTTTCTTCGGTGGTGGCTGGTGAGTTAGCGTAGTCGATATTCTTTAAATACCCCCACAGAAAAAAACCTATAGTGGCGGTTTGTGGCGTAGCACTATCTTACTGAAACCATGCACTGCCTGGATATTACCTAGGAAAATTAACCAAGTCTGGACGTAGCCAAATTAGAAACATGGCAATGTATGAAGGTTAGGTCTTCTAGCATCTCCAAAAAAATAAAATCCAGTAATCCCCGATGCAGGCATGCCCCATCAAAGCTTCATCTTTTTTGAATGCAACTGTTTCTGTTGTGGTTCGTTTGGATTTTCAGGATACCAGTAGCGAGATTGTCCTTGTTGACATATCCATAAAAGTAGTGAGTCTCGCCACTAAAAATAATTCCATCTAAGCCACCTTCATCCCAAAAACGAGTCATCTCATCAGAAACATTGTTCCTCGGTAAGTGATCATATATTGGCTTAAGAATTTTTTGGGGGTGAAAACTTAAATACTTTTATAAAAATTTAGCAGTTGTGCATGTTTGCGAAGTGATTACGATTTACACCTGTCGAACTCTCTCAATATTGTTTTTGGTTTGCCTGAATGTTTCGCATTTGTAACAATTCCGTTTTCTTCCAATTTCTTTGCTGATGAGTGCACTAACATCGCAGGTGGGCATCAGTCACGCGTAAAATTTCACTCACGCGTCTAAAATCGTACTGCGCCCAAAAACTCCCCCAAGCAACTCTATAGACCGGGAACCAACGGCACGTGGAACGACAGTTCTCGCGCCAATCTCGCCAGTTCACACGCCGTCGAAGGAGTATTGGTAACTGCATACCTAGAGATAAAAGAGCAATAACATAGAAGACTTCTAATCATTGTTACTCTCATTAGTTTATAAGAATTAAATATATACAACCAAAGAATATTGAAAATTATAAATATTTTTACAAAATTATCTATCACAGAAAGTAACTAATTGCAAAATTTTTAAAATATCGAATAAATACTAGTAATTTAAGAAGTTATTTTAGATAAACGTACCATACTGAAGAAAAGTAAATGGTAACCACTAAATATTTGATACATTTCACGTAGTGTAACAATATTTAAAAATATCTGTCCGATTCAATTGAATTTTCATTAATTGTGCCATTACGATACAATGAATATTTCTTTAGAAATTTACGTTGATAGTGTGAATAAAAATTATAAAAAAATGATAAAACATATCTGCAACTGAATAAGGATCATAAACTCAGTAAGAATTTTATGGTTGGTGTATTTTTCTCATACTGAAAGTTTAATTTTATTCATATTTTTAAACTTCAGAGTTTAAGGGTTATTCCATTCTGATCATGCTAGATCTCTTGCTCATCTTAGTCCACTTTCATTAAAGATACCACGTCTTTTCCACCTGATACGTGTTTATATATTTCATAGTTGTAACACATCACTGAAAAAATCCGTATAGTGGAGGTTATCCGAAAATGGGAAAGGAAATTATTGGGAAATATTCCAGGCTAAAGGCAGTGCTCAGTGAGTAGCATTCTAACTGGATATTGCTGTCTGCAGCATTTGATAGCAGGGGAGGATATAGTTGGGTTTGTGAAGTCGGTAAGATTGATGTAGTTTGGAAACGTGGAAAAAATGGATCCGGAAATGCCCCTGAGAAAAATGTTATACGAAATAATGAAAGAGACAATAAAGAGAGGTAGACGAGGAAGAAAAATTAGGGGAGCAAATATTAATGAATAAAAGCCGAAGTATAAACTACTCCCAAGAATAAGAAAGATACAGCATAGATTTTAGAGAAATAGAACAATACACATTATAAAATGTAGAAAAATTTATAAATTAAAATACAAGAGTTGTAGTCAACAGTTTAAACGACATAATCACAGAAATAAGTGAACGTGGAAGGGTAAACAAAGACACTAATATTTATTGGAAATGAAAAAAATTACTAAAAGATAGGAACCGTACTACTAACACCAAAATTAAAAGCAAATAAGGCGTCAATCCGATCTTTCATTATCTATGCAGCGGAAATAAGTACCTGACTAACGGATATGCAAAAAACAATCAGATTTCTAGAAATAAAAACTCCCAGGAGAATTTTCAGACTAAAAAAAATTAATAAGGAGAATTATGTTGATCATTGCACAACGAAGTTGGAACCCGACGTGCCCGACGATATCATTCGATACGCAAAGGCTAAAAGGTTGAAATGGTTAGGTTTTAGCCAAAGAAAAGTGGAGATGAACTGTTATAAGAATGTATTAAAATATGAACCACCAAATTCAAGACCTTGAGGAGGATCAATGTGCGATGGGAAGGTCAGGTTAGGGATAGTATTAGAAAGATGAACATTCTAAACTGGAAGGAAATATAGAAAACAAAAAGGTGTGAAACTCAATTACAAATCAAGGGCTATGACGCTACAACGTGTAATAGAGGAGTAAACAGAGGAAATGCGAATTGATCCCTGTGCATATTTGATCAAGAGTGTCCATGAATGGGGCGGCTTATTCTCCTGTTCAGAAGTGTCAGGCCTATATTATTAAACTGGCGAATATGGAGAAAATGATATTATAAGTAGTTAGAAATTTGTTTCATATTGCAGTTAAGGCAAATATTTTATATTAACATTGAACACAACTAAACATTGGTACTAGACGGACGAGAAAGTACAAAGATGAGCAGAATATATCGGCGAACTGTTCGATGATGAAAGAGATCTGGAGCACATAGAGCTTACGTCAGAAGCAATAGGTCCATATATTACAAAAGAAGAAATATTACACGCATTAAAAACAATGAAGAGTGGAAAATGCCCTGGACCTGACATGCTTCCTATAGAAATCCTAAAAACTCTAGATGTCCTCTAAAAATCCTATTGATGTTTTAGTGACACTCTTGAAACGAATTTGTAGTTCAGGCGTATTACTAAAAGAGTGGTTAACGTCGATTTTTATTTGTCTCCCCAAAAAATACGCATCCATAACCGAATATATCACAAACTGTACATAGACGTTAATGATACACAATTTGGTTTTCGCAAAGGCCTAGTAACGCGTGAAGCTTCTTTTTCACTTAATATACTGATGCAAAGATGCCTGGACGTCAATCAAGATATATACGCATGTTTTATTGACTATAATAAAGCATTCGATAGAGTACAATATGAACAATTAATGAATGTCATTAAATCAAAGACCCAATCAAGTACCCAAGAAACTAGCTGCGGTAACACAAATGTGTGTAAGTAACTCTTTTGCACAAGTTAGAATAGGGGGAAAAATATCAAATGCTTTCTTCGTAAATTCTGGACTGAGACAGGGAGATCCGTTGTCCCATTGTTGTTTAATCTGGCCTTAGAATATGTCATGCGAAAAATATATCCAAAAATCAAACCAGACATAACTGCTCGGGGAGCAAAAATCATACTCGCCTTTGCCGATGACGTAGATGCAGTAGCACAATCAACATTAGAAATTAAGGATATTTTCTCGAACTTTGAAGAAGCTGCATTAAACATCGGTCTAAAAATAAATGAAGAGAAAACAAAATACATGGTCGTCTCAAAACAAGAACGACGTCGAATAAGGCAAAACATTACCATAAATGGTCACAACTTCGAAGTGGTTAAAGAATTTAATTATCTAGGAGCAACAATCACAAATGACAACAAATTAGAGCGAGACGTTGAAACGAGAATAATGGCAGGAAACAGATCTTTCTTTGCAATGCAACATCTGGTGAAGTTGAAACTTCTTTCACGAGGTGCAAAGATCCGGATATATAAGACCATAACACGACCAGCAGTCGCGTATGGAAGCGAAACATGGACGATAACAAAAAGAGAAGTAAATAAATTGCTGGTGTGGGAACGTAAAATTCTTCGAATGATATATGGCCCTTGCAGAGACAGGACAAACGAATGGAGGGGCAGATACAATAACGAGCTGGAGTCTCTATTCGGAAAAGAAAATCTATGACAGGAGACAAACGAATGGAGGGGCAGATACAATAACGAGCTAAAGTCTCTATTCGGAAAAGAAAATCTAGTCAGATATATAAAGGCCAATAGACTCAGATGGGCAGGACATGTGATACGCAGTAACGATAATCGCCTTATAAACAATGTGTTCTGGGAAAGGCCAGATGAAAGAAGGTCTGTAGGGCGGCCGAGAAAAAGGTGGAAAGATGCAGTCAAAGAAGATCTAGAGAAAATGGGAGTGCGACAATGGGAATTACTGGCACAGGACCGACAAACATGGAAGGCAATAGTAAACGCGGCAAAGACTCACAAAGAGTTGTAGCGCCATTGATGATGATGATGATTAAATCAAAGAAGATTGACTATAACGACCTCAAGATCATATCAAATTTATACTATAACCAGTACGTGTTAACGAACAGCTGTCAGAAGAAAATAAAATTAGGCGTGGAGTGAGACAGGGATGCGTATTGCCGCCAATTCTCTTTAATGCTTACTCCGAAGAGATCCTAAAAAAAGCTCTTGAGTATGAAACAGCTGAAATAAAGGTAAATAGAATTCCCATTAACAACATTAGATATGCGGACGACACTGTGATCTTATTGAAGATCTTTAAAGACTGATGAAGAGAATAGCGGAGTATAGAAAAGAGTACGGTCTAACAATGAACG